CAATCACCCTGTTGATCAAGGGAGCGGAATGTAACAGAGAGCAGGCACAAAAGATTGCCATGGCCAGACAAGCTGATGAATATCAAAACTGGCTTTCTCAGGCCACCCTGAAAGGACACAGCGGCATATACAAATGTCTGAAAGCCCCAGATGCCGTCCATGTGAGACCATTTCGCAATGTTCCAGTGCAGCAAAGACAACAGCTACGAGAAGCTCAGTGGCATGGAATGTGGCAGGTGGTGGAGAAGCAGCGCCATAATGGAGAGCGGGAGAGGCTACGTTATGAGGGCATAGTCCAAGCCAGACAATGGGAAGATTTGGACCCGCACCTTGTCATGAAACAATTGCAGCGGTTGCCCCAGAAAGCATGTGGTCCTGATGGAGTAAGCTACTCCCTGCTCAAGGCCCTGCCAATTGAAGGAGTCACGGAGCTGTGCAGCATGTACAGGAGATGGGAACTTGAAGGACGCCTGCCTGACCAAGTGCGCACCACGCTGGTCCTGTTGCTGCCCAAGAAGGAGGACATCGAGAGGCCGATTTCTTTGACAAGTGTCCTCTATCGGACGTGGTGCCGCCTGAGATGGGACAAGCTCCGCCCCTGGCAGCGCAGCATTGGTCAAAAGCTGACTTGGGAGCGCAGTGTGCCTGGCACACATGTCCTGCAGGTAGCTCTGATGAGACTGTTGAAGTGTGAAGTTGGAAGAGCTACTGGAAATCATGTGGTGTCGCTGCTGGTGGACCTCCAGTGCTTTTACGACAGTGTGGAGCTGGAGCAGCTGTTAGGAGCGTGGGAACCTGTGGACTTCCCCCCAGCGGTGATGAACATGGTCTATGAAGTCTACACTGGGCCTCGTTTGCTCCAGGCCGAACAGGCCACGTCAAGACCAGTGACGTGTTCAAAAGGCATCTTGGCAGGATGCCCGGCAGCTCCCCTGGTAGCCAAACTGATCCTGGCCCCGGTGCTTGGCCCGTTCAAGGAGCAATTCCCCAAAGCCTCCATTGATGTATGGGTGGATGACATTTCCATCGACTTTGTTGGGGATAGTGTGCAAGCAGTGTGCCGACAAGCACTACAGGGATTTGATGTGCTGCAACAAGGGCTTCAAGATGCAGGGCTGAAGCTGTCACTGGCCAAGATTGGATACCTGGCATCCTCCAATGACTGCAAAAAGGAGCTGACCATCCAGCGACGGGAAGATCAGCCCTCTGTTCACGAGCTCCTGAAAGACTTAGGACTGGATTCCAGCGGAGGGAGAAGGAGGAGGATTGGCACACAACAAAAACGTCTGCTGAAGGCAGGGAGGAGGAATGCCAAACTTCATCACCTCAAGATCAAGTCCCGGCCCATCCGCATTCGAGTGTGGAAGACATCGGTGCACTCAGCAGCTTGCTATGGCCTAGACTTAGCCTGGCTTAGAGGAATTTTGGATTTTTTTGAAAGCACCAATGCATAGTCCAGCCAAAGGCTGACAAAATATCTCAATAGCAGGAAAAACGATCAAATAAAATATCTGCATTATGAAGCCTATTAAAGCTGTTCCCCCCAATGACCCTTAAAATTCTACCACCAAGACACAGCATTGAGCTAAATCAAACTGCAAGCAAATCGCACCGCACTTTTTTCTAGTATGCGCCACAGTCAAAAGCTTCCATCCCTCAGCAAAACTTGGCCGAAGCAGCCATAAAGACAGGTCGAAGCTACCGAAGCTACAAGGTTTGAGTGGAAACGGCTGCAGACGCATTGACACGACGACGACGACAACGACGGAAAAACCTGGCTGTGGAGGTGTACGTTGACCGGAGGCGGGAGAGTCGTCGCCCTCTTCTTACACAGTCCGGGGACGACCAGTCGGATTGTGTAAGGAGAGGACAATCCGCCCTCTCCTTACACAGTCCGGGGACGACCCCGAGTCACCTAAGGAGAGGACACAGAGAGGACAACCCCTTGAAAAGTCAGACAGCTTAGCGGAATTTTTGTTTCGTCCTCTCCGCGTCCTCTCCTTACACAGTTCGGGGACGACCCCAAGTCACCTGAGGAGAGGTCAATCCGTCCTCTCCTTACACAGGAAAAATTCCCGTAAGCCCAGAGGAAAAATTCCCGTAAGTCCGCCGACGGACTATGCAACTTTTTCCAATTCGCGTCATGTTGCGTCCCATGCAGCCAGTGGCGAGGCCGAAGCAGCCTTTGGTTTAAAGTTCCCAGGCACCCACTGTCAAGTCATGGTCCAGCGGGGCGTCGTGAATTTTTTGCACACGTCCTCGAACCATTGCCGAAACAGCCTCGTCTTGGGGCGGAAGCCGAAACAGCCTCGGGAGCAAGTGAGAACTCTGCCATTGGGCCGAAAAGCATTCAAGACACAAAGCAAAACGATGGAGAAAAATATCTCAGTGTGTTGAAAAACGATCGTGTGTGAGCCAATACCAAAGGTTTTCAATTCACACTCTTTAAAAAATTACAAAATTCCTCTAAGCCAAGGCAAGTAGAGGCGCAGGGCATAGCTCCACAGAGGATGAGAACCCTCCGTACTCAGCTTGCCCGACATGGAGGGCTACAGAAGGGAGGCAGCGTTGATGTGGTCTACGACCAGCATGGCCACCTGCAGGATCCGTGGATGACGGTGGTTGAGCGCCAGCTGAAAGCAATGCATCTGCTTGTCCTCAAGTGGCCGCCGGAACAGCTTGCAGAACTTCACACTGCATGGCGTGTCAGTTGGAAGAGGCTGAGAGCAGCGGCATATCCTTGGATGGTGGTCACAGGACCGATGGCAGCCCTGCAAGTATATCTTATGGACATGGGATGGGACGCCAGCAGCCTGAATGACTGGCTCAGGCCACAGGTGGGACTGATGCCACCGGCACAGCTCAACATGGAGTTTCCTTGGCCATACCTCCAGAGGCAACTCAAGATTGAGATGGACAACCAGAGAGCCAGGAGGATCCAGGAGCTTGAGCATGCCTTCCCCCTGATGCATCGACCTGACTGGAGCACCTACCACAAAGTCATGAAGAAGGCCAACGGGGGTCAGAAGGCAGCCATCAATGCTTGGACACAAGGGTCCTTGAGAGCCCACTATGGGGTGAGCGTATGATGTGCCCGCTGTGCAAAGTCCCCGTGAGCATGAAGCATTTGGTGTGGCAATGTAGCTATCATACTGAACCCCTGCCTGAAGAGTGGACTCAGATGATTGCAGCCAATGAGAATACAATGCTGTGGGCCAGGGGACTCATTGAACTACCAGCCTATGACCCCATTCAAGGGGTGGACTCCTGTGAAGTTGGAGGCATCTTCACTCATGGGTGGCCTGTCCGCATTGGACCACATCAGATGCTGGCAATTGGGGTGCAAGCTACGAGCAAAGACAAACGGCTCAGGAAGTTTGCGGTTGCAGTGGTAGCCACACAATGGCAAGATGGGGGATGGCAACTCATTGGCCACTGCACTGCATTGGCACCTGGACCTGGCACTGAAGCAAGAGCGTGGTTCTTTGGATGTTGGCTCACGCTGCAAATGGTGTTGGGGCGCCACCAGCTCAACATACCACACCATGGAGGGTGGGCAGCCATTCGGAAGGGAGCTCAGGGCAAAGTGGCGCCAGATCTTTGGCATCATCTCCCTGAAGAGGAATGGTCCAGGCTACAGCTGGTGCAGGTGCCATGGAAACTGCTCAAGGATCAACAAGAAGATGTGCGGGGCAAGAAGCAGTATATCACGGCCAAGGAGGTGGCGGCTAGACGTGCCAACCTGGAGCGGCCAACCTCACTGGAGAATGAGTTAAAGGTTGAGGATCAGCTGCACTTTGAAGTCTACCAGGTGGCTGGCCAAAGAATTGGTGCGATCTTGCAGGACAAACACCACTACATGAATGGCAAGCTGGAGCCAGTGCCGGAGCACACCACCTCCAAAGCCAAGTCCAACCCCAGAGGGGGAAGAGTTGAGGTGCTAAGACAGCTTACGCAGCGCCCAGCGCTCAGAAGGGAGCCCATCAGTGGCAGATGCACAACAATGGGGTGAAGTGCAGCCTCTGTCACAAGAAGATCAAAGCCTGTGCCACGTTTGCTGAGATTGGGCAGAAACAAGATACGGCATGCAGTGGCTTTGTTGAGCAGACAATGGAGCAGCAGTTGCGCCAACTGGTGGATGAGTCAAGTCTATTGGCTGAGGGACAGGAGGGACATAGATGGTACCTCCATGGGAGCCACTTTGGATGCCGCCAATGCTGGGAGAAGATTCCCAGGCGCAGTGGCAAACACCTGCTCCAGAAGTTGCAAGCCAAGGAATGCATTCATGGGCCAGTGGATGAAGCTGCACTCAACATACGACAGCGGATCCACCCAAGTCATGCTTTGATGAGAAAGGGCACGTGGCTTGAATGTCAACAGTGCCGCAAGTATGGCAAGATAGTGGATGGACGAATTGCACAATGGGTGCATCAGCCTTGCTTGAAGGCAAAGGGCCAGAGGACCCTAAACTTTGGGCCTGGAAGCTCAGATAGCTGAGCTAGGCATTTGATGGTCTACAAGGAGAATGAGCCTTGGACCTGACTTGTGCTCGGTCACTTTTGCCTAGAAGGCGTGACCACAGACCTCGAGGATTGCAGTCCAAATGAAAAGGGAAAAAAAGGGAGCGAGATGTTCTCCAATAGTAACAGAATGTATTCAATGCATTCATTGGAGCAGCAGAAGGGCAAAAGCAATGTTGCTTTGATTATGTCAGGGGGTTAAGATGACTTTCCTAGTGACACTTGTTGTTGCTGTGAGTATGAGGCGGCAATCGCTTGCCGTTGCTGGGTTCAAGTCGGCAAATCAAAGTACATCGCGACTGTGCACTCAAAATACACTTAAATATACTCTAAAAATCTTAACTAACAAGAGCCCCTATGGTTTTGAGCCGGTTAGTTCAAGCAAAGGCACCACCGGCCATGATGTGTTCAAACAAAGATCCAGTGAATAGTGATAGTGGTGACCGTTTGCAGATTCTAGCTTTTAATGTTCCATGGCAGGTTCCTTGCTCACCATCCGGCGGATCCTTTGGGAGACCTGGACCCGGGCCTAAAGGTGGGACACCTTCACCTTCCTGCTCTTTAGACAGGTTGGAGTCAACACCTGTTTTTTGTTGTTCGATCGCTACTACATATTTTGCGCATGAGCCTAATCTTGGACAAAGAACGAACAATTAAGTCCATTTGAGAATGTGATAGAATGGGTACTGTATTCCGCATCATTTATCATCATTTGACCATATTTAGCCAGGGACCTAAGACTCAGCGTGCAGCGTGAGGCTGCAGTGCTACACAAAGATCCGGGGAAGTATTGGCTGCAGGCGCCTTTGAGAACAGCATGACATGCCGTAATTCTTCCATCCCCAAATTTGTGGAAGTTTGAGCGCACATGGTTTAGACCAGTCGGGTGAAACAAAGTGCCCCAGGCCTCACCAGAAAACATCAAAAAACATTATTCTGTATTGCTGGACAGGCCGCCTCACTACTAGGAACAAGAAGCTACTAGGGACTCCTGGCATCGCTACTAGGAGCAAGGACGCTACCAGGGGCTCCTGGCCGTGCTACTAGGAACAAGAAGCCACTCCCAAGAGACGCAATGCACAACTCACACCCTGCATGATCCGGACATCGCCGACACACGGAGGCACCTCAAAGAGCTCTTCCAACCAAAGAGGTGGCTTGCTTCACTTTTGCGTTGTTGATGGTCGCTTCCCTCCCACCGTTGGCCTATGTTGGCCTCAAGGTATGGATGTATAATGATGTATACATAATATTACCCAGTAGAATATAAATTCTGCAGGTGACGCTAGAGGAACATGTGCAGAAACAAATTGTATCAACTACCACCCTAATAAGATCTAATTAAGGTTCAAAGTTCAAATCCAAGAGGTGTTGAAGCAGGTTGTCAGTCATCCTGCTGATGGTCCTGGTGGTGCTGTTCGGTTCACTTGTCTAAATGGTAGCTGGTAGCTTGTTAAGATGCTCCAGACTCCACTTGGACCAGAATCTTCAACGACCAGCAGGGTGCAAGGGCTTGTAAGTACTCTGTTTGTGTTAGAAAGGTTGGTAGGAGTAGCCAGTTGCGAGGCACGAGACTATGTCTTGCAGTGAGGACCTCAAGACTTTCAGCACCCCTTATGCCTTGTGCTGGCCACTTTGAGTCACGTCTGAATCGTGAATCTATCTCCCAAAATTAGGCATGTTGTTTGTAGGATTGTTTTTGGGTTCCGGCATTTGCCAAGGCTTGGGCACATATTTGTCTCTTTTCAGACTTTCGCTCTTTGCAGTAGTCATTGGTCAAGCATTTCAAAGCTGTAGCAGGCCGCTTCTGCAAGCTGACACATGTTTCAAATCCGGCATTCAATTTTTGAGGTTCTGATTTTTCGGTGACAAACCAAGGCATCGGCGTGCTGAAGAGATGGACAATGCCATGAAGATTGCACTAATAGGATCACCAAGTTCGGGTAAGCCTAGCGCTGAGTGCAGAGGCTGCTAATTCGCAGGTGAGACATGTTGTGTTGAACCTTAAGATTGGAGAACTCGTCCAGCACGAACGGATTCCGAAACTCCCAGGATGTGGAGAAACAGATTCTATATAAGCATCATGTTGTCACCAAAGACGGGCAAGTCAGCAAAGGTCAAGCATCATCAACGCCTTGCTCCAAGAGGAGCGATGCATCGAAACCCTGGCGAAGATTGAATAAGCGCCCGCACTATTCATTTGGTTCCTAGAGAAGGTTGATCATTCGTGAGACTATGAATATAATATCTGAACATTTATGAACACACTTTGACCAAATCCTACGTGTTTTTGCATGTTTTCGCTGTCCTTTTATGGGAGCCAATGTGGAAGACTTCAGGCGCCCTTAAGTTTGATGGAAGACAACACAGAAGAAGTGCTGCTCCCCAACCACAATCTTGTAAGCGCACATCGCCATCCCACAACTAATATCCACACTCAGGTTTGGTGTCAAAATCCTGTCCAACCATTGCGAGCATGTTCATCCGTTCATCCCCACCAGTAGAAACAGCGTTCATATGTCCTTGCATGATCACCAGCCAGTCAGAGTGTGCGTGCTCATACGACAAACATAAACCATGTTTTTTTCTTTACTGTTTTGAGCAAGTCGCGGGACTTTCTATTTCTGGCAGGTTGATGAGAATGACGGGACGACGATGGACTCTATAATCACCAACTGGTGGGCATCCAAGATTGCTGTTTTTGTAATGTTTGAAATGTCATCCAGGATCACAAAGAGCACGCATCAAACCTGGCGTTTTCCCAACATTGGTGTATCTCCATGCCATGCCATGATGTATGAAACAAGAACTACAGTACATATTTCATCATAGTTCAGCATTCTCAATGTTGCTCTATCTGCTAGCACTTGGGATTTGTCAGAATGGCCATCCACTAATTTGGCGCGAGCCAAGAGGCCCGTGGCAGTCACCGAGGACTTTCAAAGAGCAACCGGTTAAGCTCATCGACACGCTCGGAGCTCGATTTTGGCTGCTTGTCGTCCTCCAATGAATCGTCCTGGTTTGGTGGCAAGCATGTTGCGCCAGTTCCTATCAAAAATGTCCGATACATAGGAGAAAGATGGAGAAAGGTAGACTAAGTTTGTGCCGCCCAGGTGTGGTGTGGGCAGGAAGTTCACTTACCCTGGCTTCAAACCAGAGGAGCGTGGAGCCTGGATGATATCCAGCTGTCGATAGCTTCGGGTGATGTCCTTGTCCATGTCGTTGGTTGAGCTTGACAAAGGTCTGTCAAAGATAGCACGCTGTCATTACATGGATAAATAGTCATAGTTTCCTTTGCTGCAAAGAGGTCTGCCTCGGGGTAGAAAAGGTCGAGAGCTTGCCTGATTCACCAATAAATAAAAGTGAAGAACCACACTTAGCATATGTTAGCATGCTTGGTAGAGAACATGAGGCGAATTTGATGGACACTTCCCTTGTTTCCTGCCTTCTCCCAAAAGCACTTCATGACCTCTGCGAAGGAAGGAGATAGAGTCGAGGCAGTGTGGCATTCAACAAAGTTAAGTTATGTTAATATTAAGTCCCCTAAACATCAAGGAACCACATCATTGGTGCGAGCGCTTCTTCAAGGAAGCGTGAGCTATTTTGCGTCCATATGTAGTAGCTTAAGTTTATAGCTAGGAGCGAACTTCTCCCTTACTTCTATAATTATGTAGGCGCCTGCTTATATATATAATTAAAGTCTATTAAAGTAAGGGCGAGGTCTTTCAAAAAATGAACAAAACATAAATACACGTTTCGCTCTTTAAGTTGGCTGTCCGGGTTTTGGCCTTCTGAGGCGTGGGTCCGTAGGATTGAAAATTCAGTTTGTCACAAAAAGTTATGCAAAGCCACGACTGGAGCCTGTCTTCGGGAAAGTGGAGGCACACTGACCGATGCTGCTCAAGTCACTGCATCACTGCATTCAGCCCAGCCCGTTTGGATGATGTTGAATGATGCATGTATTGGCACATCCTTTGTTGTCCTGCGCTCGGAGTCCTCCTTGGCGATTTTGGTGGCACATTTTGGAGGCGGCAACGGCTCCAGGAGGATCCCCCTGCAGCGGACAGCAGTCAGCAAATGCCACGGCAACGGCGTTCCACTATGCTATGGACTTTGTACGGGTCTTTCTTCCACAAATCTCCTATGTGTTTCAGCGGCAGGCCGTCTTTTTTGTGCTTTGCGAAAAGCTTGATGCTTTGACCCAAGAGAATTGGGCAGAAGGCGTCCCAATACCGGATTTCGACCAAGAGGTGCTCCAAATAACAGCATCTAGTCTTGGTGCACATTTGCCATGCCTTTTTGGCTGGGTTGCGGCTTTGGTTTGTGAGCTCCGGGTCCAGCAGGATGTGCTGAACGGCCTTTGGGATGCACATTTGGAGCTTTTTTTGAAGAGATCTGTTCCAAATCTGAGCAGGTTGGAGGCTGCGGAGGACGGCTGGATGGACGAGAGGGAGGAGATCTTAGGAGCTCTTCGTGCCAAAGATCATCGAGGAATTGCACGACTTCAGTCACGCGGTCGTTGGATACTCAGAGATTTGCTTCACGGAGGCCATCGTGGCCTTAGCTTGCTTGACTCTTCTGGCTGGGCCCAGCTACCACATGTCTTGGAGGTGCTACCTGCTGGCGAAAGGGGCCCTGCTTGTGAAGGTGCTGCCTTTGCTTTACAGCACACCTTTCTTGGGCAGGTCACAAGGATGATGGTTGCACGCTCGGAGGAAGGACTCTTTGCAAGAAGTGAAGGACTTGCCTTGAAGGTTTGGGCTGCCAGTTCACATCCAACATTGCTTCTTGAACCTCTCAGCCTCTGGAAACAAGCTTTTTTGATGGACATATTGCTTTCAACCAGCCAGTGCTTGGATGAGCTGCCTGACGTCCCTTGTGACGAGGCTCTACGAGATCTTTTCTCTCGTCTCGGCAGCCGCGACGATGGTCTGGGGCACTTTCCTTTTTGGTTGATGACTTTGAAGAATTTTCGCGGGTTTTTGCAATCATTGCGCGCGATCAAGTGAGGAACGCAGACATCTTGCTTTGTGGGGAGCCGGCGTTTCTGTGTTGGCTGCTGTTCAAATTCAATTTCAAGTCTGTACTAGGCTACCTGGGCAACCCTTTGGGTTCCTATTTGAGTGCTAGCATGCAGACAGCTTTCTACAGCTTCATATACGAAACGCCGCAACTCACCACCTCTGTCAATGCATCGCTTCAATTGGTGTTCATGTCTCCTCCAATCGCAGCTTCTGCCTATTGGTCAACTGGAGTTCAGTTTCCTGTGCTACGACCTGTGGCCGACTACATCACTTACAGTGCTACATATCGCGAGACTGATGTGCATGACGTGCTCATCACGAAGCAGGTCTTCACCTTCTGGGATTTCCGATGCATGTTGAGCCAAGTGGCGAACATCGTAAAGAGCTGGACGCCTAAGTGGCACTTCCACGACATTTCTCACTTGGAGGACAGCTGGAAAGCTTTGCCCAGCTTCCGGGCAGCACTAATGGTGCCATATGACGCTCAGACACTGGTTTTCTATGAGCTCTATAGCTTTGGCATGCCACTTCTAGTGCCAAACCAGATGCTGCTGCCACTCTTCTTCATGAGAAGTTACGGCCAAGATGGTGGGGTAGCACATCAACGGCCAGGCTGGTCCTTAAAACGGCAAGGTGCGGCTTGGGGGCGCTGGCACCAAGGAAGCTTCAATGAATTGCTGTGGTGGGCAATGTTCAGCGACATAGCCAGAATGCCACACTTGCTGGTTTGGTCCTCTTTAGCTGAGCTGTTCCACTTGCTTGCTTCGCCCTTGTCAACAGTATCCGCCAAAATGCTCGAGGTCACAAGGCAGCATCGCGCAAGGTCCCTTGGCTTTTAGCGAGCATGTCTCGCATAACGTGCTTGCATGTTGGACCTGTCTTTCGGCTTGTAGCTCACAACATCGCGGCATGGTTCTTCGTGGCATTCCATGGCCATCCAGTGGCAAGCTTCGTTTATATAATTGCGACTATGTTGAACTAACCTGGTAAATCCTGCTGGCAAGACTGCCAATGTCCTACTCCCACCAGCATTGAAACAGAGCCGGAGTTGGCTGGTTGTCTTTCAACGACTGTGTGCTGCCATTCAGTGTGGCGGCGATTGCCGGGACGACGTGCCCCACGGGAGACTGACCAGGGATGCTTGCAAGGTTCAGGAGAAAACTGCTGTGGTGAACATTGGAGCATGACTGCGCCTGCAATGGGCAGACGCAGCAGCCAAAGCGGACTTGCTACTTGCTCCCTTCCTAAGGTTTATGGAGCCGGGCATGGGCACTAAGAAAGCCATCAACCGGGTCGAAGCCCCAGTCCCTGCAGCTTTTCGATGTCAAAGGCCGGGCTAGATGGTGGGGATGGTTGGTGGATGATGGTGGATGGTGGATGGTGGATGTTGTTGTCATACACAGTGACAGTATCATACTGTAAGAGGTCTACACCACTGGCAGCTCTTTGCTTGATATTGACTGTGCCACTGCCTAGGCACACGTGTGCGTTTTATGTTTGGATGCCTCACGCTTCCGGAAGCTGGCCGGGGCGGGCTTTCACTGTGCCTTGGCTACGACCTCTCAGTTAGCAATAGGCAGCCATTAAGATCAATTTATGATCAATTACGCGTCACGGCCCCAAAGCCTGGGGTAAAGCTTCCTTTCCTCCATCTCACGTTGATCGGAAGGACGTGAAACATAGAGCACCCAAGAAATCTCATTTGGAGATATTTGGAGCAGGTAATTTTGATGGTGCGATTTGTTGCAGATTGTTTCAGGTTTGTGGTGCCAATTCTTCGGCAGGGACTCCATCCAGATTGTGTAGCAGTGTAGCATCCAAGGTCCAAACAAAATGGAGGTGCATTTAGGGAACTATGTGGTAGAGGAGGGCAAGTGCTTGGTCATCGCCACAAACTCAGGAGAGCATATGAAATACATTGAGCATCTTTTAAGCGAGATGATACGGGCACCTGCTGAAAAAGTAGGATGCACTGTACAAGTGGCGCCGTTTTCAATATATATATATATAACTATATATATATATATACTGTATATAGGAAGGGGAGCAGTGATCTTGCACAAGCATGTCATGGCCATGCACTCACAGTCTTTGCTTCATCAACTTTGAAATTGTGGATGTGCTGATGGTGCATATAAGCATTTGATGCATTTTGAGACTAAACGATGTCAAGTACTGTAAATCAGAGCAACACAGCTGGAGTGCTCAATCTCAGACAGTCACCTTTGGGGTGGCCAGTTGTACTGTACATGAACATTCGGTTGACAACACGGGTGCTGCACGCGAAGAGCAACATAGTTCATTTGGAAGGGCGGATCAATCATGTGCAAGACTCAGAACTAAGGCGGGTCCTTGTGTGGTCTGAACACGTATCAAAGCCCTGCAGGTTTTGGTTGATTCATGGCATGTTACTATTTGATACTATATATTGGTTTCACATGAGAGGGTGTACACCCATTTTGGAGCGATATCGGCACTGGTTTGATTTTCTTCTTCATGAACGCTTGGCCTGACTACCCATGCTTTTTCCACTGTGTGTGGATGCCATGGCGGCGGATAAGTTCCATGAAGAAGGGCAGGCGCTTCTGGCTGAGTTGATTGGATTGGGCATGATTGAGATCCTAAACATGCATCATCAGCATCCTGTACGATTGAGGGTTCAACTTCGGCAAGAATATTTAACCCACCTGAGCTGCACGAAAGACATTTCAACGTCTTTGATATTAGTTGTGTAAGCCCGGGTAAGACACTCGTGTGCCCTGCGCACTTTGATGAACACCTTTGCTGCGTCAGCCTTGCAGAAATCCATCGGAGAGTTTAGCACAGCCACAGCTCACCTGTAAACTTGGAACACTGTCATATCATTATGCCCAAACGTCCAGATATCCAGCAGGCAGTTCAAGCCCGCTGGCGGGTCCTGCAGCTCTTGGCGAGCGACATCCTCGAGGTGGGCAAGCGATCCATCAAGCCCTGGATAATGCCTATGTTGATTGCAAGGGATATGTATTATATAATGCATGCTTGTATGTATGTATATTATATGTATTATACACAGTCACGTTTTGTGCCTTTTGAAATGCTTTTAATTTTTGCATCATACCCAGTTCAATTTGGGTCGGACTGGTAAAATTATGTTTTGTGTGGTAGGCGCACCACGGTCACAAACAAGGGAGTCACCCAGCCACCTACATAACAGACAGAGTTTAGTGGTAAGCTTCAAAAACGACTCGGCTTCTCCTATCAACGTTTTGTTCAGACGTGTCGGCAGGCCATGCAAACAGTGTGACTTTATATAGTAACTCTTGAGAGAAGCTGGAAACCATTTTGAAAACCGCCTTCACCAGGTTAATACCTGGACGTCGAAACTAAATCGATTCTCACTTTTACTACGTTATACTGATGGGCATGAGGGGCGCCTACGGGTGCGGCATTTTATCTATATGTCCTTTGATGCACACATGATGACTCCTAGAATTTCGGGTCAAGCGTATGGACCGGTCGCTTGCCGCGGGGCTACTAGCGGTAGTATCTCCGCCATAGCCTTGCAGTTGCTCGCTTCGGCCCTCGAATCCTCTCCGACACCCTTCGACTGTCCTTCCTGCCCCGAGCTGGCTCCTTTTTGGGAACATCTTGCTCTAGGCCACTTGGACCTTCCCAGTGTCGTGTTTCGGCCCGGTCTTGGACTTGGTGAACCTGGTACGCCAGAGCTGGAAAGTTTGGTTGCGCAGCCGCCTGCTCCAGCTGGGCGAAGAGAAGCCGCTTTACAAGCTTGCATGAGTAGCAAGCCCGTGACTCAAGCTCAGCTAGAGCTCCTGCTGTCCACGATCCGGGATCAGAGCTCGGAAATTGAGGCCCTGCGGAAACGAGTGGCTGACTTAGAGTCACGGGTCCTTGCTCTCGCTGTCGCCAGCGCCAGCGAACCTGAGGATTTTGAGGTGGTGAGTACGGCTAAGGCCTCTTCGGTTCCGGCAGCATCTGAGGCTGCCACATCCTCCCTGACTATCTCGTCGTCGGGGATTTCCGAGGCCCGTCGTGAGATTGCTCGTGAAGTGGGACAGTGGTTGAAGCGCTGCCTCATTGGTGCTCCTCGAGGACCGAGCGGGCGGGAGAAAGTGAGTTTGCAAAGCCGGCTGTATCTTGTTTGCCGCGATAGGCAGTGTTCAATCCCCCCAAAGTGTTTTTCACTTGGACGGAAGCGAAACCTCTCTGCATCGAGCGCACGGGCATCCCCTCGGACGGCATCTTCATTGGGCTCCCTTCGAAAGAGGAAGCTCGCTTGGCCTTGGTGGAGGCAGGGCTTGAGATCCCGTCGGCGCTCCAGCGCTGATGGCTATGAGTGGAACCGCATCAGAGGTACCAGAGTGCCCCGAGAGCTCTGGTATCCGTGATCACCTAGTGGTCTCGGGAGAGGAAATTCAGTTTGACTACCTTGTAGGTGCCCTCGCCTTTGAAGCCGACCGGGCACTATGTTCATGTGTAGCCATCACAGAGATAGATGGCGCAGTTTTGTGTGCTGTCCCGGAGTCGGTCTGAGTTAAGCCAAGCGCATCCTGCCCATAGACTGTTTGCGAAAAGCTGTGAAAGTCATGGTGCCTGGAGCCATCGACGACGAACGAGAAATACCCGAGCAGCAGCCCACCTTCCGCTTATGGTGCGGCCTTCTCAAGAGCAGCTACGAGGAAAACTTTTCTGCCGAGTTCGAAGCGGTGGACTACCCCTTCCCCGTCGACTCCATGGGCATCCCCAAGATTCCTTTTGCGAGAGCGCTGGTACACATCGCTCGAGATCATTTCGAGTTTGCCACAGCCGACGATGGAAGGCCTCCGCCGCTGGATATGGAGCAAAGGCTCCAGTCTGTCGAACAGCTGCTAGCGGACATGAGAGTGAGCCTGGCCCGGCTGGCCCCGCCACCGCCGGGGTTGACTGGAGACGGAGGACCTCGTGCAGCTCCTTTGCCACCTCCTCCTGCAGACGTGGGAAAGCGGCAAGCAGCAGCGCCCAGCATTCCGCCCGGAATCGATCCGGGCGTTGCCCGGCAGGCTCTTCAGAGTGGAGTCACTCCCGAGGCACTGGTCGAGATGGCAAAGGTCCTGAATGTCGGTCCGCCCGGCCGCACACCACACATCCCACAGGCTCGGTTGCAAAAGGCGAATGCGGTGCTGTCCAGCGAGGAAGAAGAAGAGGAGGAGGAAGTGGCCGGCGGTGGGTCTCAAAAGCCTGTCGAGAAGGCCGTGATCCACCTGTCAAAGATTGTCACTCGGCTTGCTGCCGAGAAGAAGTTGACGAAGGATCGCACACTGGAAAGTCTTTTGGATCGGGCCGAGTCTGGATCAGCCTCATGGGCTCCAGCCGCAGCAAGTCAGCCGCCCTGAGGTCATTGAGAAAGCTCCTTCATCTTCAGCCCGAGCTGATCTACCAGGCCTTGGAGCAGCGCATGGAGGAGGATTGGAGCCAGATGGGCGCTCTGCCTGGGACGTCCTCGGCGGCCATTACCGCCCGGGGTTGGCTGGAGCACCGCAGTCGAGTACAGAATTTTCAAGTACCGGTTCGGGCTTGCTGGATTTTAGGTGGTGTCCGGGATGCTCTGCGACAAGGCAAAACAGACGAGGCTCGCGCCCGATGTGCCTTGGGCGTCGCCTCCTTCGACCAGCAGGGCATCGACAGGGGTTCATGGTTGGTAGCTCAAGAAATCAGCCTAGAGGACCCTCCTCCCTTCTCATCCTTTGCAGCTCATCGCCCTTTGGAGAATTGGGAGAGCCCCCCCACACAAAGCTGATAGACGAGCGCTGGCTGGAGTTGTTTCTGGCAAAGTTGCGCGACATCCACGACTATCAGGACAAGAAGAGCAAGCTGAGCTCCTCCAGTCGGAGGACGGAGGATCCGGCCGCCGACAAGGCGGGCCCGGACAAGCCGGACAAGTCAACCAAGAAGCAAAAAGGAAAAGGTGCCAGCAAGGGGGGCGGCGACGAGAAGCCGTCGTCCACCAGCTAGGCACTGGAGGTATGAGCCCTGATGTCCATGGCCGAGGCGCGTACAGCGCCGGGCTCGGGGAGATGAAAGATGCGGCCGTGCATGTGCCGGGAGCCGGAGCGCCTCTCTGCAGTGTTCAACGATTGTGGAATTCAATGACCAGGTGGCTGCACAAGTCGACTGGCCCCTTTTCGTGTTTTTTCCGCTCGTTTCTTGGCCAAGTGCCTCCTACGTCCGGGGGCTCAGCTTCATCTCTTTGGCCGATGCCGGCGCCTTATCCCAAGTGGTTTGAACCTGTTGTGGTCAAAGCCGTGGGGACCCAGGGCTATAGGCAGATGTGCAAGCAGAAAGCCGTGAACTTTGCCATCTTAGCTCTCTCCTGGTTACACTTGAACCGCACTAACGCTGCACCCTCTGAGTTGAGCCTCCAGACAAAATTGTCTCGGAAGCAGTGGGCTGTAGTTCATAGGATTGAAAAGCTGCTGGATGAGATCGCTGTGACAGACGCGGTGGGGCCAGATCAGATGGGCCGCACCGCAGCCAAAGTAGAAAGTTTGGACTCCTTGTTGGAGACCTTGCGTGGAGTGGCCTTGAGCATGCTGCCTGAATCATACAAGCGGCACCCTCATGAGCCAGGTTTTTTGAAAGTTGGCGTCTCGACAGATGCTGGCAAAGTAGTGGGTCATTTGAAAACAAGCAACCCCATAGTCGCAAAGGAAGTGGAGACCCACAGACTATCTGTTCCCATGGAACCTCCCGAATTCAGACCTGGAGACCTACTACCTCCTCATCACCTTGCTGTCTTTGAGGACCCATTGAAGTTCGCCAGTGACCCGCTGACGGTCAGCACGCCACCACCCAAAGTACACCTGCACGCATCCAGGCAGCAGGCGTTTGATCTTCTGCGTTTTCTGGATGAACGGCAGCGACTTTCCCTGGCTCCGAAAACAGAAGTCCGCTCGAAGCATCTGTGTGGAGTGTTCGCATTGATCAAAGATCAGAACAAAGACCGCATGATCCTCGATGCTCGACCTCCCAACTTGTTGGAAGAAGCCCTGACGGACTGGACGAGGACCCTGGGTTCGGTGACTGCTTTGACTCAGCTAGAATTGCGACCAGGGCACCAACTATGGCTGAGTGGCACAGATTTGTGTGACTACTACTATTGCTACCGTGTGAGCAAGCGCAGAGCCCGCCGGAATGCCCTAGCTTTTCCGTTGACACCGCAGCAAGCCTTTTTTTTGCAGTGCTTTGATGAGTCCATGAAGAAGCATGAAGTTCTTTACCCCTGTTTAGCTACTCTTGCTATGGGAGACAACCAAGCAGTGGAACTAGGCCAATGTGCTCACCTGCAACTGGGACTCACATCCACAGCATTCGCCACTACAGAGTTGTTGACTGTTCACGGCCGGGCGCCCCGGGGGGATGTCGCCTGTGGAGTGGTGATAGACGACGTCCTGATCGCTGAGCAAGTTCTGCCTGCTTCCGCTCCTGCATACAGTGACGGTGAAGCTCGCCTCGACCGACTGTGTGAGGAGTATCTTCAACGGGGCTTGAAACCTCACCCCAAAAAGACCTTCCGACGTGCTGATAGAGCTGAGTGCTGGGGTGCCCTGATTGACGGGAAGACTGGATTAGTCCGGGCTTCTCCAAAACGCTTGGCGCCGTTGATGTGGATCACGAGTCGGGTTGCACTGCTGGGATTTGCGACTGTAGGCCTACTTCAGGTTTTGGCGGGATCATGGATCTCGGTGTTACAGGTCAGACGCCGCATGTTGTGCTTGTTGGAACATATCTACTTTGCCCAGCAGGGACGTGATCAAGATGCCATTATCGCACTGTCACCTTGCGCGATATCAGAGTTGTGGTGCTTGGTCTCCCTTAGTCCCTTGGCGGTTACGGATCTATCCGCTCGCAGCCATCGAGAGCTTTTCATGTCTGACGCCTCGGAAGAGTTCACGGCGTCTGTGAAATCGGAGCTGACATGGTCCTTCGCTAAGGAGTTACAACGGCATTGTTTGGCACGTGGCACCTGGGGAAAACTCCTGACCCCTTGGCAGCAGTGGCTGAAGTCACATGACCAGCTTGAGATCTCAGAGGAACTTCCTGCAGGAGTGCCGTTGGTAAGCCACCCTTTGTGGTTAGAGCTTGCTGAGGCCCTCCCTTTCAAATTGCACCATAAGCGGCATTGCAAAACCAGAAAACATATCAACTTGCTGGAATTGCAGAGCATTTTAGAGCTTGAGGAAAGATTGGCACTTCGACATCGGGATTGCCGCTACGTGTTGGCGGCGGATAGCCAGGTTGCCCTGACAGTCATCGTGAAAGGTCGAAGCTCCAGCCCTAGCCTGAACACTTTGTTGAGGAAGAGTTTGCCCAACATCCTGGGAAATGGAATCTATGGTAACTATGGCTTTATCCCCTCACTTGCGAACGTAGCTGACGATCCTACCCGAGGCCAGCCGATTCGACAGCCGCTTCGGGAGACGATTTTTGACCTGGCTGCCTGTCTGAGAGGGGATTTTTCAAGCCTAGATGCTTGGCTAGGAAGGATTGGTTTTTTGCCGGAACAGGTAGCTGCACTTCCTTTCTGTGATGGTAGCAGTCACGACCCACAGATTTTAAATAGCTTGCTTGTGGACCCATTACGCCGCGAGTACAGAAGCCCGAGCGAATGGCTCGGTTTGATGAGGGCAGTACAGCGCCCTGTCATGTTTCACCCCTTGACGGAACCGATGATAAGAACGATTCAAGAGAGAAGAATGAGCCTGATGGCCAAACCAAAAAACAAAAGAAGAGGCCTCAAGAGAATGAAGAAATCAAAGAAAGGCCCATCACCGCTGTTCCAGTTGCTTTAAAGAGGGTGACTCCTCCCTCCGAAAGACATGTCCATGTTGAGTCCAGCGACTCAGCTGCTGATTGCGCTGCTGCCCCGCTTAGAGACCTGCAGCCGGCAGCCAGCCGCCGGAAGAGGCATTGCAGAAACGAAGCCTCGCAGCTGCCTGCGCTTTCCGCTCAAGCTAAGGAGCTCCTTGCTGCCCTGCCGCCTGGACAGTTTTTGCGACCTGGTGGCACCCGAGCTCAGACGCCTTTTGAACCTAGTCGAAGAGGTTTCTTGGACTTGTATTCAGGGGCCGCTGGGGTGGCCAAGAGCTTGAGTAAACTTTTTGACACCTGGGTCCTTACCTTTGATTTTTGTCATGGGGAGGGTCAGAACCTTTTGGACCCAGCAGTGCAAACTGCCATTCTGCAGCTTATCGACGCTGGTGCCTTCTGGGGGCTTGGCGCGGCGCCAGAGTGCTGCAGTTTTTCGAGAGCAGTCAACCCCGCGGTGCGATCGAGAGAATGCCCTGCTGGTCTCCCCAATCTCACCGAAAACATGGCAAAGAAGGTTGCTACATGTAACTGTCATGCTGCTTTTGTTTTGGCTGTGCTCCTTAGAGCTCGTGAAGAACATCTCGTCTATTGGGCGGAGAACCCTGACGGCTCTTTCCTTTGGCTCATGCCCGATTGGCTGGCTAGTGGACTTGCGCGTTTTGAAAACTCCTACAGGTTTGACATGTGCTCCTACGGCACGGCCTGGAGGAAGAGAACGCGCATCTGCACCAACGCAGAGCGAGCCGGCGTGCGACGCCTTTGTAGCGGGGGGCATAGTCATCAGCAGCTAAGAGGGCGCAGCAGACTACATCAAAGCAGCTGGACCCGACTTGCTCAGGTCTACCCTCGGAAGTTATGCTTGGAGGTTGCCAAAGCGCTTGGTCGCGCTGCAGGCCTGAAGCCTTCAAAGGTTGAGAACAAGTGGCATCGAGCTAAATGCGCCCGGTGCTCTCATCTGCGGATTGGGGAGGCGAAGAAACCAGGACCTCCCAAACACCGTCCTCCTGCTCCTAGGGATATAGACGAGTTGTTTGAGGCCCAGCTTCATGAGCCGACCACGCTGATTATCCAGGACAGAGTGTTGAGGAAGTTCGACCGGCGGTTGCACCTACAGTTCTCACACGACACGTGCACTCAGGTTTTCCTTTGCCCTTTATTGGCCTCGCAGGTTCTCCGACAGTATGGGATCCATTGCTATAGCACCGGGGAACCAATGTACGAGTTGCAGCACCTGTTGGTTGTGGTACAAAAAGACCACCCACTGCTCAAACCTGTTCTTAGCCCCGCCTGGGATGTTTTGGTCAGGTGGGAGGAAGTCAGACCACTCAAACACCGTATTCCGTTGCCTGAAACCCTTTTCAAATCGATGTTCACTGCTGCAGTTTTTAAAGGCTGGCATCGGTGGGCTGCTACCTTTCTTTTAGGATATGAAGGCATCGCCAGGATAGGCGAGGTCTTGAATGCAAGAAGAAAAGATCTTGTGCTCCCCGAAGACCTTTTTGACTCTAGTCACCCGGCGATTTTTCTGAAAATCAGAAAGCCCAAAAGTCGTCGACGTGGAAAGGGGCGGATCCAGCATTTGAAGGTCGAAAGACCGGAGACCGTCCAGTACATAGCCTCCGTTTTTGGAGAACTCGATGGCTTCCTGCCGCTATTTCCTTTAAGCGCCTCCGCCTTCCGGACCCGATATGGGACCGACTTTTAATCCTGTTCGGGGTCCCGCGTTTTCTCAGACCCACTCCTGCGAGTATCCGAGGGGGAGGGGCCATATCGGCCTACCGGCGCGGTGAAAGCATCCAAAGCATTTTATGGCGGATGCGATTGGTCTCCCAAGTGACTTTGGAAAGTTACCTTCAAGAGTTGGCAGCTGAAAGCTACCTTACCGGTTCCCGCAAAGGAAAGAATTCGTTTTGTCGCTTCATTCTTTTCCTCTGCTCTCGAGTCATCAGGATGAAACATCCTAACCTGTATGCACGTACCAAAGGTGACGGCCTTGCAAAAGGTGGATTGTCAGCTTCTTTTGAGTCTCTCTCCACTGCCTCCTTTCGGCC